TACCCATATATTACAGATCTTGCTACTGTACATCACTGGACAAATGTAAGATCAATAGAATTTTATACAACTAAGCTATTATATGGTGCAAAATGAGAGAGGTAGCTGGATGCCTCGCCTCATCAGGAATGACTTTCTAATGGTGTGATATGCAATGTTGGTGATGAATAAAACATTCCATCCTGAACATCCTCATTGCCAATCTGAAGCATCTTTCCCACCCCTCCCCAAACTGTAAGGATTCTATCTGGAATTCATCTGAGAATAACAGAAGTGTCCAACAATGCCAGCATAATAGAATGGGACTACTTATTAATATCAGTAGTTGCATCCATAAACTGAAAATTTACACTCGTGCAAATTTGGTGAGTTACACCAAAAATGATGAAGAAACGCTGAGAATTTAGGAAAATGTTTTTCTGTGCATGGGGAGGAGAAGAAAAATGTAAACAGATTGATCATTTGCTGGAAAAAAAACAGGACATGTGAAACCTAAACAATAAGGCTTCATTTTTCTGATCAAAAAAACTAAGCCCTCTAACAGTTAAAAAAGTACAAAAGGTCAAGTGTGTCTGTATTACAGCTTTAAAACACTAACAGAAGTATGCTATGGTACCCTACATAGTTACATTTGAATTCCTCCCCTCAAAAAACCTTAGAAAACTGAAATACAAAAAAAGGAACTGGTAACATCACATAAAAATATAGCTTTTTAGCTGCAAATGCAGCAAGTCTATAAAAAATTTATATACAAGAACTGCTTAATTTCGGCGTCATTCTTCCATCATCGCCCAAGCCTCTTCTGCTTTTTGGTAGTACTGATTTGCCAGTCTGCCTTTCATGGCTTCCATTGCTGCTTCTGCTGCTTCTGTGTAAAGCTCACCTAGAGGAGGAAACAGGATCAGTTATGCTGACAGAGTAAAGGAAAAACATTGCTTTAGCCTGAAGCAAATAAAGGACAAAAGGAGAAATTGAGATCAAACTGCAGGGCAGGATGTGTGGGTGTGTTTTAATAGTGTCAGAGTTACATCAGCTGGGAATCTGGGTTAAAGTTTATGACTGGCTGCTGATGGCTCTTCAATGTATTGTGAAGGATTGGAAATACAAGCGGCCTGTAGGACGCCCCAAGAGGACTCCAAGACACAGACATCGAACATGAAGATTACACAGCAAGTCGTGCAGGGGCTGGGAGTCATGGGTGTAACTCAAAATACAAGCAGCAACCTGCATCTGAGGGGAGTGACCCAAAAGAGCAACTTGGAAGGCAGTGAAGGTTGCCTGGTGGTGACTCAGCGTGTCACATAATTGGACCTGGCACCACCCACTACCCCTGTCATTGCCAAGATCTGTTCTTTCACTGTTTCCAGCCTTGTTACACCCAGGATCATTGCAGCTTCACCCACAAATCCAAAGGTGCTGACCCCCTGGATGTTTTGTAACAGATAAAGCAGGAAGTCTATTTTTGGGGTACACGCTGGGGCAAAAGGGAAAGAAAAGCAGGATTAGTGATTACAGAAACAAAACAAGGCCTCACCTGATCTCTGTGGATCCTTATCCAGGTGGAACCCTCCCGTCATTAACATCTCTGCTTCCCTGGCCAGGAGCAGATAGCGGGGCTCATCCTGAGTGCCATCATACTCCCCTCCCTCATCGTAGTCAGTCATGTTCAGCGCAGCGTTGTACCAGTGCAGGGCCTCCTTCCAGTCCTGGGCTCTGAAGTTAAACACAGTTTTTGAAGATGGTTCCCTTAGGCAACAAATGTACTTTGCACTGGAGATTCAGAATCCAATTTTGCACTGACTTCTCAGAGCTTTGATGCTCCCAAGAAAGCAAACGTTCTCATGGAGGCGCACTAACTGCACTGCAGCATCAGATCACTACAGCAAAATGAGGCTGGGGTCACTTTATGCAGGAATTAGGGAGGAGAAAGTACCAGACTGAAATGTTTTGCTGAACTCCAGAATCTGAGCTTCATTACCAGTTGTGTGGTTTTGGTGTGGCATTTATACTTGTGAAGATAACTGATTTAGAAAAAAATCTGAATTTGCACAGAGTCTTGTTTTATAAATACTTCAAAATAGTGATTTTCATTTTGAGAATGCTCAGTGCACTTCAATTAAAAGCATAATGTTGTTTGTCAAAGGTGAAATTTAAAGTTTCACTGTTGTGCAAAACAGACAACTCATGTAAATAACAAGGACATGCTAAAATACAGAACTAGAAAAACCACTATCATCACCTGTTATATTTGGTACTTAGGGAAGTTAATATTTGTCCACTTTTAAAAACTCAACTAAAATGCTAAAAAAGAAATAACTCAAAAGGCTACCGTATAGCCTTTTGGAAGGTCAAATTAAGAGAGACTTACTGAGGCACTAGCATTTTTAAACATCTTAAAATTTAAAATCATCCTTAATTAAAAGTAACATACCTGTCTGCAGCAAGATTTACACCTGTATCATATGCTCTTGCTATCAGAATCATGGAAGGCCGGTCTCCAGCTTCTGCTGCTCTCAGCAAGTAATTAAATCCTTTATTTCTGTTCTCCTTTGTGTCCTGGTAAAACAAACAAAACCTTTCAAATGCATGTTTCTAAGCAAAACCATCCCTTCCTCCCTCTAACACTAAATGCAGTTTCTCCGTGTCAATAGTGGCTGCAAGTGTTTGGTGTGTC